GGTCGGGTTCACATTGGCGAGCGACGGGCGACAGCGACGAGCGATGAGCGACAAGGAATTTCCTAAAATATATTTAACACATAGTTCCAAATGGAAGTGTTTATATTGGTCGATGGCGACGGGCGACGGCGATCGGCGATGCTCGAGCGACGCGATCAATATTAATCATGTTTAATATTTGTCATCATTTTCAGAGCGATATGCACTTTATTTTCATATGAAACGTGAAACCGTTCAATTGTTGTAACTAGTTTTTATTCTTAACTTAACAATTTAACTTACACAATGAGTCAGTATAAATTTACTTCTGCGCAAAGGGAAAATCTAATTTCCGAAGTTCAGTTGAGACCAATTTTGTGGAATGATAGACTAAAAGATTACAAAAACGCAGAAAAAACAAAAAAAATATGGGCTGAAGTGGGTGAAATTTGTGGTTTGACAGGTAAGTAACTAGTTAGCAGTTAGCAATACATTTCTGCTAAGTATTTTATAAAATATATAGATATAAAATAGCTAGAAGCTAGTATTTTTTATTATTCGAATACATAACCTACTCCACCTACGTAGGTATATAAAACATGTATCTTATATGAATAATATTAAAAATATTAACTATACATATTATATATAATTAATATTTTTACTTTCTGGTTTTAGAATATTATTTTTGCATTACTAAAAATACAAATTTGAACACGAACATACTTGTAAACAAAATGATAATTATATTTTTGACTTGTAGTTCAAGTTATTAAGTATAAAATTATAAAATATAAATACAAGTTAAAAATATAACGAAATAAAATAAAACGAAATAGTTATTTTTATCGAGGACCTAAAATAATAATAGTACAACAATACCTAGTTATTTTTAAAGTGATAATTATATTGACTGATATAGTACAACAAAGATAAAAAAAAACTGGTGATTTAAACTGTAGACAAATGTATCCTTAAATAATATTAATTACAATATAAAATAAAACAAGTGTAAACTAATATTGTCACTAGGTAATAATAAATATGCGTATGTTATTATTTAAATATTTTATTATGTTTTATTAATTAAGTATTTTAATGTTCTATAAAAAAATTTGCGAATTTTTCTCTCACTTCTTTTGCTTGTTGTGAATAATTTGGGTTCCTTCCTTCAAAATGATTTTCTGTCTCGTTTTGATGACTTCCTTGATTTTGGGTTATGTGGTAATAGTCAATATCATTATCCCCATCTTTTGTCCTTATCAAATTATGTAAAATACAAATACATTTTATAATTATTACAGCTCTCTTTGAATCAACCTCAATATATTTTCCTAGAATTCTCCATTTTGCTCTCATTATTCCAAATACGCATTCTATGCATTTTCTGGCTGCCGATAATCTATTATTAAAATTTTCTTTAATTTGATTCAAATTACGACTAGGATAAGGTCTTAATAAGTAAGATTTTAACGGATACGCTTCATCTCCGATAAACACAAATGGTGCTTCAATGTTTGTTCCTGGTAGATTTTGGTTCGGTGGTATATTTAAACTATTTGATTCCAAATGTTTGAATAACGACGAAGAGGCAAATATCCCACCATCGCTTTGTTTACCTCTTGCCCCTACCTCAATGGTGATAAATTTCTTTTCTGCATCGGCTACACCTTGTAACACCAACGAAAAATATTTTAAGTAATTAAAATGACATGTACCGGAATTAGCAGGACATTTAATTTGACAATGTTTGCCATCAATAGAGCCCAAACAATTCGGAAAATTCCACCGTTTGTAATAATCAGTTGCTATTTTTTTCCATTGTTCTTCTGTGGGGACTGGCATGAACTCTTCAACCAACTCTTCCCAAATAACTTTACATGTCTCATGAACTATTTCAGACACTGTTGACACTCCCATTCTCATAGTTACTGCCATATTTCTAAATGATAGACCAGTTGACAAATACCTAAAAATATATTATTTATAAATAGGACTAGAGGAAGTGGTTACATTTGCATACTTTTTTTTTGGGCTATTAAATTTATTACTAAGTAAGCTTTAAATTAACTTAACGACCCTAGGAACTTAGAAAAAATATTAAAAGTTTATAGTGCATATTTTTCCATACTGAGTGATTTTGTAGTTTAAAAGCATATTTTTCAATTTTATTCAAATTTTATAAATTGTTAACTTATACTTTAACTTATTAATTACATTTTTTGTTAAGTGTCTTAACACGATAACTAGTTTTAACCAGTTTTTGACTAAATCAACTTTTTTATTTTGCTGTAACTTCAAAATTCAAAACACTTAAATATTTGATTATAATATTGTGAATATAAAGTTATTAATATATTATATCCTATTTAAGTGGAATCTTGTTTTAAATTTTTAATCCTTAGCTATAAAAGTTGAACATTACATACATTTTTAACTAAACTACGAGATATTTTTAATTGTAAATTTGATTTATTTTGTCAATATTTGAACTTTATATGCATATAAAAAAATATTGTGACTTTGTATTTTTAATATTTTTCATCTGCCTTTGAAACAATATATTAAGAGCCTTCTATTAAATGTTCAAGCTTTTTACCCAACAAATAAAATTTTATTGATATTTATAGAAAAAAAAAAACTAAAATACCTAATTGGAAACTAAAAATGTTTGTAAACAGCTCAAAATAAGTCAAAATATGTTTAAAATGTTATGGTGTATAGAAAATGATACACACACATCATTGTAAAATCAATACATTCATTAATCCGCTCAGAATCTAAAATTGTAAGAAAAAAATAAGATTTTTCTATAATATACGCATATTTAGTACCTATTAAGTGCATTAAGTTCCGAGGCCAATACTTATAAATTATATAATAATGTACCTACCTATATTATAAAAGTGATACTAATAAATTATATTTAATTAAATATCAAAAGCCCGGATCTATTTCTATAAAGAAATTTAAATATTTTTTTATTATAATATTTTTACTACTTAAAAAATTGTCACCTATTTTTTTTTTTTTAATAATAATAGGTGAAATGGCTAAATCTAAATGGAAGAATAGTAAAGACACTTTTAGAAGAGAATTACAGAAAGAACCGATAAATCGTTCCGGGGCCAAAGGTGATGACAACTTCGAATGGAAATCGAAGTGGCCTTTTTTCAAAATGATGTTATTCTGCAGAGATGTTTTGTTACCAAGTCCTACATCGGGAAATCTACCAGATCTAGATAATGATTTAGAAAATGACACACAACAAAATACAAGTTGTACAAGTTGGGCCGACGATACTGATGTTGAAGTTGATGTGAACTCGGAACACGTTGTATACTCTGAAAGATCACCAACTACCTTGAACAATGAACATTTAGCTAATAATATTTTGAAAAAGAAAATGAAAAAATCTCGTAAAATCGACGAATCGAATATAGACTCGTTTTTGGCTTTGGAACAAAAAAAAATTAAAATTTTGGAAAATGCACAAAAAAATGAAAATCAATTTAACAATGATCCAGACTACCATTTTTTGATAAGTTTACTTCCATATTTTAAGGATTTGAATGCTCTAGAAAAATTAGAAGTAAGGAATAATATTCAAAGCGTAGTAATTGACGCACATCGGCGAAAACTTATGTCTTCTAATTCAGTTCCAAGTACCATTTTTACAAATAATATACCAGTTTAAAGTCAAAATTATCTTCCACCTATGCCTTTGATAACACAAGGAAATCAATGCAAAAGTTATAATATTCAAACTTCTACATTATCAAGCTCACAAGACATGCAACGTGAAAATCAAGACTTCCAACTGACTTCCAATCATATTCAACGCTACTAATTTTGAACCAAAGACTTATTTTATATTATTATAATTAGTTTATTATTATTTTTAAGTATTTCCTGACCATAAGTTCTGGTTTAGTTTTTATTTAGTTTATTTAAAACATTTTATGATGTTCAGTTTTATTTACAGGTATTATGTATACATAATTTTACCTATTCTAAAATGATAAATGGAGTTTGTTTTTTAATTAAAAGGTTAATTAATATAAAATATAGTGTTTATTATTTACTTTCAGAGCCGGTTTGAGTAAACTATTTTTGGTCCACTGCACCACCAATATATTAGTGGTGGGTGGTTAATCTTGGTTGAGCATATGCTGATTGATTTATTTGTATGTTAATGTTGAACTAAAAACTATTAACTATTGTAATTGGATCATAAGATCTGTTGAAATGTAAATAAATAAAAATTAAATATATAAATATAGTGTATCTTTGAATATTTAAAACATAAATAAATATTCATCAAACTTAAAAATGAAAGCCTGCAATAAAAAACATTTTTTTTTAAATCAAATGTTCAATATAAATAAAAGAGTAAGTACATACTTTTTATTTTTATTTCGTTCATGTTTAAATACAATGTATATGTATTAGTAAAAAGTTAAGTACAAAAATTATTACAGAATCATTGTGTACAGTTAATATGAAAAGTGTAAACAACTTAACAGAAGGTACTAAACAATTACGTGGGTAGGTATATGAAAAAAATTTTAAAAAAAACCTTACCACCATATATATTACATTCAAACCGAATCTGTTTAGTATTTACTATTTACTACTTTAGAAAGCAATCATGGAGCCATGGAGGTACTTTTAGCCCAGTGGCGTACGCAGGGTAGGTGTCTGGGAGATATCACCTCCCTTAGGAAGTTTAAGCTTTAAAGTATCTTATTAAATTATGAAACGATAACTAAAAAAAAAGGTCATCAATTCATGCATATTATGACCCCCCCCCTTGAAATATTCTGCGTACGCCTACCTATAGTATGCACTATACATTAATAACTAATTTAGTCACTTACCTTAATGTGACATATGTTCGTTCTGTTGCCGATATTGGTTCTTTAAAATTGGTCTTTTTTTTTGAAATTCGACCCTTAATTCTATTCACCAGAAAATCAAAAGTTGCGATAGACATTCTTAAAAATTTAAAAAAACGGTCTGGATGCTCACGTAAGTTTTTGTACACGTGGTGAAATTCACCAAACTTTGAACGACACTTATTCATATTATGAACAGCTTGCCTTTTCTTTTTTTTCAAAAAATAATGTCTTAACACAGGGTTTTCTAAAAGTATGTGCAGCTGAACTGCACTTGTTGGCAACATATTGGCAAATGAGAAATTTATTGTGTTTCATAAAATATTTAACATCGCTATAGCGAATCGCTAATAGATGTAAACACCTTTATCGCTCATCGCTCATCGCGCATCACCGATCGCACATCGCTGTCGCCCGTCGCTCGCCAATGTGAACCCGACCTAAAACTCGAATTTTCGAAAAAAACGGCAAAAAACGCGCGTCGACGGCGGCGCTCGGTTCGCACGCGATATCGGCCGCGGCGGGCCCGCCGGGAAGAGAGTACGGCGTACTCGTAATAGTAAATCTAGCGGGGAACGCGAATAAGGTCCGAACGGGGCCGCCCGAGGCCCCCGGGCGGGGTAAAACTCGAAAAATTTGAAAAAAAATCGTGAATTTCGAGAAAAATCGTGAAAAGCGATAAGGAGGAGTGATAACGCAACGACGGCTCCGCCGCTGCCGGGAGACGGCCCACGGTTAGAAATCTAATTTTCTCATTGGTGAGTTGCTTACGCTGGTTCGGATTTAACGCATAGGGGGCGCCCAGCTGGTTACTATTGGGTAATATGTAGTATAATATTTAGCTATATTATATCCTACGATGGTTTACGCACGATGTATGTAAAATACCTACAAAAGATATGATAATAATATATAATTTAGATATTTCAAATTTGCTCTCCACATTGTGTGGACTATAAAACGGTATAGACAATTAAGTTCATTGTATACATATATTGTATTCTCTTTGTGGGTGAATCCAAAGGTTTATTATAATCGGTGTTATTATTGGCTATATTTTGTAAAATATAGTGTAATTAACTAACAAACCATAAACGCTCATAGATTAATGCTCCTATATCTATAAAGCAGGTACACAATTTCTGACGAAATCGTAATAAAACTCATGGAGAATATAGGTATTAGTTACAAAAGAATAACAATATTAATAAACAGATGTACACTGTACAGCCATATTTATATACTTTAATAATAGTAAATGCGACACTCTTATACATATAAATAATAATTGTTACCTTACACAAATAATGCAATATGACTAAGTTATTATATTTTGTACTCCCTTATTCGTTATTTACGGTGCAGGTAAAATTGTTCAAAAAAAAAAATAAATATTTTCCATGATACTTTAATACTTAAGTGATAAATACACACATTAAAAAACGACTGAATGTATTAATAATTTTAAGGTTGAGTATAAAAATTATGTATGATGAGTAAATGTTTTAAAATATAATAATAACATAATACATCATAATAATATATGTATATTGTATATGAGTATATAATAATAACATAATACATCATAATAATATATGTATATAAGTATATAAATATAATAATAACATAATACATAATAATATATGTATATCAGTATATAATAATATAATATGGGTTTGAGACTTAATAACAACATTATAACTTTGATGATAAACTGTATTATAATTTATAATATATTTTTGTATGTATAAATCGTAAAAACCGTAAATGTTATGCTTACACATATAAACAAATTAATCTTAAAAACACTAAATTTGTAAACAGTTTATTTTACTAATTATATTCAATATGGTCAATACTCTATAGGTAACTTTGTAACAGTTCAAAGGGTAGATATAATTTTGTATTTTTTTTTAATTTTAAATAGGTACCCGCTATTGTGTGTGTTTGAAAATTTTGGAAAACTTTTATAGTATATATTATTAAATACACAAATGCCGGATGAGCATTTAGTTCATTGAATTTTTATGTAAAACGTGTTTCTAATTTATATTATATTCATTGGTCAGATATGAACCTACGATTTTTTATCGAAGGATCTTTTTAAATTTGTTTTCCAAAGTTATTTTTAATTACTAATTAATGAATAGTGATGTGTGATTGATGTATCCATCAAACAAGGTCCAAAAATGATTGTATGCTTGCTGACATATAATAAAATAGTAATATATTATGATGTATATAGTAGGTATAAGCATACTGTAATACCTAAACTGTCCATAAATGAATGGTAATTTATTATAATCGTATACCTACGTAAGAAAGGATACAATATCGGTCCCTTCGGCCCTATTATATTATTTATTATAAATATATGGTATATAATCTACTTGGACAGATAAGATAAGGACATAAGGTCTGTGCTTATAATTTTAATTTTTCACACATTTTATAGTTATATTATCATAATTTTTGGTCTTAAAAATATATGTCAGTATGAATTAAGCATGGGGCAGTATAGATTGTATTAATTGTATAAATGTACACACAATGTAAAGAAAATATCGCTCATAACATGTAAGTGAAGTTTTAATATCACTAAAAACCCTTATTTCGTTAATAATACTCAGTGATGTGTACTTAATAATGAACATACACTGCCGCATTCAGTAATACAATCTTTTAAAATAATAATGACTTGATATAAGTACATTCCTGTCGTAGAATAATCTAAAATTGTCATTGTAGTAAGCAGGTTTATTATTGAGATAATAAAATATGTATACTGACTTTTGTTATAGTTAAATAAATAAATTTTAACTTTAAAATCAAGTACCAATCAAAATACAAAGAAATTCACAGGTTAGAATGTTTAATTGGTTGAGCACTTATACATATTTATATTTTTTCTAACAACAATAAATTTGAAACATTGCAAAAAACGTATTGCACTGTATAACAGTAAGTGTTATAATGAAATCATAATATGATACATGTTGCAGTTCAAATCATTTTTCAAAGAGCTGTACAAAATAATGTTTAATTGAATGTGTATTAAAATAATATAAACATTTCTAAGAGTACTACATGTGAAATGATAAAATGCCTATTTAGTACACAACTTACAAATAAAGGAGAGTATACCTAGGTCAGTAGTAAGTAGTAGTAGTAGTAGTAGTAGTATTTTGTTCATTGGTTGTAAATACCCAACAGAGAGTTAACTGTGACTTACACTACCTATTTCGTAGGAGTGGATATACAGTTTATCTTTTTAACAAAATTAATAAAAATAAAGTGTAATTTAATACGGAATTTTAACTTCCAACAATAAAAAGAAGAATATAGTAGTAAATATGTTACACTGTAGTACAAACAAAGTTAGTTGTATAAATTGCTAACAATAAGACAATATGTGAAATGATAAAATACTTATCCAGTATACAATTCACAAAGAGTTATGTACAGAAACAATGCATATAATATGTATCTAAGAGCACAGTGAATAATATTAAGCATGTAACAAATTTCAACCGTAGGTTAGACACTACTCATTGTCATTGGATGTGAAATGATAAAATACTTATCTAGAACACAATTTACAAATAAAAGAGAGTAGACGTAGGTCAGTATTAAGTAGTAGTAGTAGTAGTAGTAGTAGTAGTAGTAGTAGTAGTAGTCAGTAGTAGTATTGAAGTCAGTAAAGTAGCATGCTCGCGGACGTCGCTCTGGTATTTGGACTATCTACTCGGGTAACAGGAGACCGTTTTTTGTGTTTTTTGTGTCAAAAGGTGCATAAAAAGTGCGCGCGTAGACCGGTGTCGATTTTGAGTCGGTCTGCTTAAAACGATACCCCATAAGGGCAGTTTTTGTGTCTACCATAGGATTAACACAGCCGCCGTGAAAAGGTAAGATTCTAAATCATATTTCCATCGGCGCGTGTAGGCCATTAGCTTAATCTAGACCAATTAACTATAAATTACGATAACGACACGGATGCGGGCTATCGCCAAATAGGTACATAAATTGCTGTCGCAGAGATTATAGCATGGAGACAGCTGCTCATATCGGAACAAAAAACCGATAAGAATATTTCTGAAGGAAAAAAAAAAAAAAAAAAAAATCCTACAGTAGGCATCAACTCGGTGACTTGGCTAAACTTGGCTCGGCTCGGCAGGTTGGCAATACAACTTTACGGATCTATCTGCGGGACGCTCTGATACCTTCGGATTTGGAACCTCCCAAGATATTTTCGATGAATTCTGAATCAGAATCTAGTGGGGCTTCCACACCCGGTGAACCTAAACAAATGGGAAAGAAGCCCACACTTACGGAAAGACTACTACTGACCAAGTCGGGTCAAACGATAAAAGATAACGAGCCCCCTCCTACATCAGCAGAGGATTGGCACAAAAGAATGGAAGCTTTTGAAACAATGGAAAGGGAACACTTTAATCGCGTAGGAAGAAAATTAAATGAGATGTTGGAGCAGGTCAAAACAGCTAGAACTGTGCCAAAACTAGTCCAAACTGCACTAGCCGAGGCAATGGCCTCAAACAGGAATGCTATTGTGGCACGCAAGGAGCGACTCGAAGCCAAATCACAGTGGTTGAAACTTCTAGAAGGAAAAGAAGCAGACAATGGTGGATTTGTGATGACCAATGAAGGTACGGGAAAAAGCACACTCTTAGACGAAATTAAGGAAATAAAGAACCTGTTGACGGAACAAGATCGTAAGATTAGCGAGTTAACAGTGAACAAAAATAATAGACCAAGAGAAGTACTGCCGAAAGAGAATCTGAGGAAGACGAGACAGCAAATTTGGGTGAAGAACGTTGGACTAAAGTACCTAAGAAAAATTCAAAAAAAATTATAAGAAAAAGAGCCCCAGCTGTGATAGTCAAGCCGGGAAACATATCGTATGTCGACGTGCTCAAAAAGATCAGGGAAGAACCTACACTGAAGGAATTTTCTGAAGACATAATGACAATGCGTAGGACGGAAGCTGGTCACCTTCTTGTGGAATTGGATGGAGCTTCTACCAATGTCGACAAAGTAAATTCCGCCATCAGGAGAGCTGTCGGAGAAACTAGCACAGTCTCCTCTCTTAGGCAGACAGTAAAAGTTGGTATTATTGGCCTGGATGAGGTAACAACATCTAAAGAGATTGAACAAGCAATCACCTCGACTTTCCAAACAGACTCCGTGGAAAAAATTAACATGCTTAAAACGGCACGGGGTCAACAAATTGCAGTAATAACGGTAAATACTGAGGTTGCTAACAAAATCGTTAACCTGGGGCGCATTAGAGTAGGTTATGTTTCTTGCAGAACGAGGATGTGGCTAGATATCAAACGATGTTTCCGATGTCTAGGGTCTGGCCATGAAACTCGTGATTGTCAGGGGACCGACCGATCAAGTTGCTGCAGAGGTTGTGGCAAACACGGTCATTTCATCAAAGATTGCCAGGAGACAGATACCAATCGCACATTGTTTAAAGAGACACTAAGACAGGAGGCACTGCGGTTATCTGCACAATGATTCGTTTTCTCCAAGTAAATATTGGCGTCGGTAGGGCAGCTCAGGACCTGATGGTCCATACCGCAAGGGAACATTGTGCTGACGTTGTATTGGTTAGTGAACAGTACCGTAATTTAGGCGAGGATGTAGGATGGTACAGCGATGTGTCAGGAAGAGCTGCGATTTTTTTTAGCCAAGGACATAGCGATAGACGAAATCGGACCAGCTGATACTGGTTTCCGGTGGATCAAAATAAAAGGTATACGCTTCTACAGCGTATATTGCTCACCTAACATTTCTTTGGACGAATACAATGAGTTTCTTTGTAGATTGGAAGACAGCGTGCGTGGAGCAGATGGACCAGTACTTGTAGGTGGGGACTTCAACGCCAAGCGGCCAGAATGGGGATCGCAAATATCGGATATAAGAGGGGACACTTTGGCAGATCTATCGTTTTCTCTAGACCTGCAAGTTTGCAATGTCGGTGACCACCCAACATTTACAAGAGGAGGGTCGGAATCTTTCATTGACATAACATTTGTATCCCGGTCGCTTTGGAGTAAGGTGAATAAATGGCGAGTGCTTGAAGAGGAATCGATGAGCCTACACTGGTACATTATATTTGAAATCTCGCTTAATACCTCTCTTCCAGTCCAACCAACCCCTAAGGGATGGAACTGGCGGAAACTAGACCGAGAAAGGTTGCTTATGTTCCTAGAAACAAGAACGGTATCAGATTTTGGAGATACCAACTCTACAGAAGTGCTACCAAATGCCTTAGATGCATACCTTGCGGCTGCGTGTAACCACTCAATGCCCAATAAGTCATACCATGGCCGAAAAAAACCGGTCTACTGGTGGACACAAGAAATTGCTGAATTTCGCAAGGCATCGTTTGCAGCAAGGCGAAAATTCCAATGAGCTAGAAAACGGAGGGGGCCCGACGAGTGTAGAGAACTGGAACAAGTGGCGAGAGAAACACTTAAGACTTTGAGGGTAGCCATAAGAAAAAGTCAAGAGGACTCGTGGAGAAATTTATGTCAGCTGGTAGACAATGATCCATGGGGGCTATCTTATGAAATCGTAGCCAGGAAACTAATCGGAAAGCGACCAATACCAGGTCTCTCACTGCCAGGTCGATTACAGGATAACGTTCACGGACTATTTCCTGCCAGGCGTTTTGTGGAGTGGCAAATGCCATCGGAAACTGACACAATTGAACCAGTAACGGCTGAGGAATTGGTGGAGCTGGCCAACGCCTTACCTTCTGGGAAAGCGCCAGGTCCAGATGGTATACCCGATACGGTAGTGAAGGCAGTAGTATTGAAAAGGACGGTTGAAGTTGCGAGTATCTTTAACAAATGCATGCGTAATGGGTGTTTCCCAAGTCCCTGGAAGGAGGCCCGACTTGTGTTGGTTAGGAAACCGGACAAACCTTTGGAACTGCCATTTTCCTATCGGCCACTAAGCATGGTTAATACAATTGGTAAGATGTTTGAGCGCGTCTTGAAGAGACGACTAGAGGCACACCTTGGACTAGAGGGGCTCTCGGAGAACCAGTACGGTTTTAGAAGAGGAAAGTCCACGATGGATGCCATCGAAAAAGTGTTGTCTATAGTATACCGTATTAACTCCGTGCCATGGAGGCGAAGAGAGCTATGGTGTCGATTGATGTCGCAAATGCCTTCAATACCGCACCTTGGGAAAAAATCGGAGAAGCACTAAGGCAAAAAGATGTACCTTTCTACCTGATAAAAATACTTCGGGACTACCTTAGGGAGAGACGGTTACAGACAGACGCGGGAAATGTTGACGTTACATGTGGAGTACCACAAGGATCAGTAATTGGTCCTATTCTATGGAATATATTTCATGATGATCTGTTGCGCCTAACACTACCTGAAGGAGTAAGGATAATTGCGTTTGCAGATGACGTTGCAGTAGTTGGAACCGGTTGGTGTACAGAGGTTTTGGAGGTCTCAATTAATGCTGCGTTAAAACAAGTTAGCGACTGGATGAGCAGAAACGGACTGACGATATCGATAAACAAGACAGTGGCTATGATGATGACGACAAAAAGGAAATATAGACACCCACAGTTTGTGCTACTAGACGACACCTTGGAGTTAAAAGGAAAAATGCGTTATTTGGGAGTGGAGCTGAGTTCATCACTGGGATTCAAGGAACATATCCAAATGGCACGCAACAAAGCCTTGAGGACAACGGTCGCTCTTTCCCTCTTGATGCCCAATGTTAAAGGCCCAAGGCCAATAAAAAGGAAGCTACTCGCATCAGTGGTTCATAGCCAACTGTTGTATGCGGCCCCCGTGTGGAGCTCATCGCTAGTATTTCATAACCATAAGCAGTTACTTCTAGGCCCCCAGCGGGCAATAGCCCTGAGAGTCGCCAGTGCGTATAGAACGGTATCCACGGTGGCAATATTGGTTGTGACCAACATTGTTCCGGTACACCTTATGGCGAGAGGACGGAGTGAACTAAGACGACTGCAAAAAACTGGGATTGAGGACGCAAGGCACGTGGTTGATGAAAATATCTGGAGTTGGTGGCAACAGGAATGGGACGATGAAAAGGATAAAGGGGCGTGGACAAAGCGACTCATACCTAAAGTTCGCGATTGGGCAAGTCGATCACATGGTGTGACAAGCTACCACCTGACACAGATGTTGACGGGACATGGCTGCTTCCAGGCCAAACTATATAGCTTCACCCGTGCAGAATCCCCACATTGCTTATCCTGTGGAGATAATATTGACGATGCGGAACACACGTTCTTTAAATGTGGCCGGTGGGCAAGGAAGCTTGCAGATCTGGAAGCCACGGTTGACCAAGTCGTTACACCAGAAACGATAATTCCCATCATGCTACACAGTAAGAGAAACTGGGAAGCGGTGGAAAGGTACGTAACTTTAATCCTGAGGACCAAGGAAGAAGAGGAACGGCTGAGGAGATAGAATGAGAGGTCTAAGGCGACAGGCGTACACGTCGGCCTGAGAAACAGATGTCCAAACTACAAGTGTAAATAGTTCCAGGTGCAATGCACAGACGTGTAATTTATGTTAAATTAAGATCCAGCTTAGATGCTACTGATGTATTAATTTTAAATCTATTGTATATACGTGTCGCATGTTGAATGTTTAGCATAAGGCGAAAATGTATTAAGTTTGATTATATAAATAAAAGATGGCGGCTCGGCGGGAAAGCAAAGCAAAGGCAGTCCTCCCCCGAGTCCGGCGATAAGATAAGAAAAAAAAAAAAAAAAGTAGTAGTAGTAGTAGTAGTACTGTTAGTAATATTAAGAACTGTGTAAGAAAACGTCAATATTATATAAATAAAAATATTAAAAAAATATAATTATATACATCATTTTCAGTGTGATCGGGTCGGAAGGCAGTGGGAGGTGGGAGGTCATGGAGGATGGTAAGTTTCAATTGGACGATTTTGTCTACTTCATAATTTATTTAACAATTGTATTTTTTAAAATATTTTTCAGAATGAATAAAGCACCATTTCATGTAACTTTTATTGTTATTTATTATTTCCTTGATCCCAATATTGTTTTATGAACTGTAACAGTAACGTTTGTCAATTGACAATTGTGTGTGAGGTGTGTCATTAAATATTTTAGTAGTTGGTTAACAACAGTAATATATTATTAGTTAGTAATAATAAAATAGGTAAGTGATGTGTGTTGCTGGTTTGAAATGTAAGTGTTGAAAACCTTCTCTTGATTTTATTCATCAGAATAGGGTTTACTTCACAAAATGTGCTAAAAGATAATTAATCATTATAACTGTAGTCCACTGGTGTTTAAATTTAGTAGTTTTATAAAATCCCACATTGTAATGACATTGTCGGGCAAGTGTTGTAATCAATTGAAAATATTTGTATAGCGTACATTGTTGTTAATATGGACTGATAAATAATCGTATTGTTACATAAAATAATGTAAACACTAAAAAGTAATTGATAATATAAAATAATTAATAATATTGTTGTTGAGAATATAAAGTAGTTAAGTGTTATCTGTGACAATTAGTATATTATATCATTGATTATAAATATATTTATACATATATATATAAATAATATAAGTATTTATAATCAATGATTATAATATGTAGGTGCTATTCAAATAGCTTGGCAACGGTCATTAGACTAATTGCAATAATTAAACCATAAATCTGTTTTTCAGTACCAATTAGTGTAATGACTTTCCAAATTTTTGAATATTAGCAGCGACATATTAATAAAAATAATAGTAGTGTGATAAATTTAATGTTACTATACATGAGAGTATTAATAAATATTTTTTTTCTTATGATAAGATGTGTTCCAAGCTATTAGCTACGTGCTACATAGATGAACAATTAAGGTATGACTGTTATCTATAGTGTTAGTTGGAATAGTCTACATCAATAGTTGATCGACAAACGGCGTGCCGACACTAATATTTTAGTTATGGATTTAAACCAATAATTGATCATACTCAGAGATAAAGACCTAACAACTATATAATATTAAATATATGTGTATTATCATCTATAGACAGTAATATATAATAATAAAAGTAATACACAATAAGTATAATAATAATAAGTATAATCAAACGTAATAATATGTATAATAATTGAAATACAGTCACAGTTAACCAACCATCATATCATAAGCACATACAACAAAAGTGTATTTACCTACACACGGCATCGACAGTAAAAAATAAAAACTTCAATGTATTGTAGGTATTTTACAGTACGAACACAATGTTACATAGTTAAAAGGTAATTACAATTGCGATTGAACAAATAGATAGTGATACGACATGTTACAAAAAGTTGAGGTTAATTTAATTTGACTAATTTTAATACTGATACTTAAGAAACAAAATACAAAGGAAAATCATACTGTTATAATATAGAACATTGACCGTCGTCCATAGACATTGAAGTACGGATCTAAGGTTATACAATAACCAGATAGATGTTTGATAAGTACATAAAACAATTTACCTACGCACGGTAAAGACATTAAAAAATAAAAAATTCAACGTGTTGTAGGTATTTTACAGTTTGAACACAATGTTACATAGTTATAAGGTAATTACAATTGCGATTGAACAAATAGGTAATGATACGGCATGTTACAAAATATAGCAATTTCTATTATATAGTACTTCGACAGTCGTCCATAGACATTAAAGTACGAATATAAGGTTATACAATAACATAATTAATCTTTTAAGTTAAATACAGCGACAATATTTACAGTGATCACAGAATTAAATTTGTCTTTTTTGATGATATAAGGTTTAACAATAAGAAGTAAAACAAATACATACATTAGTTTATACATTAAAAGCATTTGTCATTTTGTTGGGTGTCATTTCAAAAATGTTTCTAAGGGTTTTCAGTTGTGGTTAACATGAATGAAACACAGAGTGGGAACTGAACCAATAATATCACTGTCGAAGGTAGCAGTGCAGTGCTGTGTTGGCCTGGCATGTTGTGGTTTGTATCTCAATGTTTCCACACAAAACAGCCTAAAAATACAATATACCAGTTAATGAATTTAATGAACAAGCTTATAGTATAATGTAGTTCTTAAAAGAGTGAGGCAGAATCAAATTTGTCATTTTGTTTGGTAAAGATACTTTAAGCACAACGTCAGTATATCTTGAACACGGGGTAGTTAAACATTAAAAATAAAAGTCAATGGAATATTTCTGATAATAAATTAACCTGAGAACATGACAAAAATATTAAATTGTATAGTGAATAGTGAATAAGAATAACACATACAACATATAATAGTTCTCAAGTAATAGTTAACAGTGATCACAGAAAATCAAATGCATTAACCTTTATAATGAAGAACATCGAAGTATACTCATGAATATAAGGTTTTACAATAAAATATAAACATTAAAAGCATTTGGTCAATGAAAGTAAATTGTTATAAGAGTATTAAGTTGTGATTAATACAAATGAAACACATGTTGGTGGTTTTGATGTGTGTGGGAAATGAACAAATACTAATGCACTATTCATAATAACCTCAGTGTTGTGTCGAGAAGTCTCCAGAAACAAAAACCTCGAACACAGCTTGATAGACTTGTCACCCATGGTGTTGCACGAACTGTGTCCATATCCGCCGAAACCTAAATGTAATTGTGAATGTGAGTGTAACGGTCATGTTCATTGGGACGTAAATGGTTCATACTTACTTGTGTATAGAAACTCCATGGCGGCATCAATGTTTCCACACCAAACACAGTTGTTCACCATTTTTCAACAGCCTGAAAATGTTAATTCTATAAGTATGCTGAAAACCAGTTAATTAATTTAATTTCAAAACGTTTGACATTAGTTACGAATTCACTTTGCAGTGAATAAGCATCCAGAGAGAACCACGGGAAGGTTGTCAAACTTTCTCTCCACAGGACCACAAAGGTCGGACCACACAGGTCGGACCACACAGGTCGGAGCACACAGGTACCCGCTGTCGCATATAGCAGTTGGAGCCCCGGAAACATGGGCGCTTCGTCCCAGACGATGAGTGCCGCCTCCCGTATCCTATGCGCGCGCAGAGACTGCATGGCGATGGACGACGTCGAATCTTCGTTGAGTGTACCGAAGGGCAAACCGAACGTCGAGTGAACGGTCATACCACCGTCCATGAGCGTCGCCGCTATTCCCGTGAACGCCACAGACAACACGGATCTGCCCATGTTGCGGAGCGACCATATTAGGCAGCCGTAAAGCGTCGTTTTCCCAGTACCACCGGGCCCGTCGACGTAGAACATTTTCGGGACGTCGCGGTTGTCGTCGACGGCCGCCATCACGCGGTCGTAAACCGCCCGCTGTTCGTCGTTGAGGTTGTCCAACTGCAGAGTCCAACGCACCACTGCGTCGACGAAGCCGTAGACGTCTCCTCCCGCGTCCTCTTCGAGCAGCGCGACGTCCGGATTCGGCAACCCGTAGTCGGTCAGCGTTTTACCGTGACCCCGCAGCAGCCGCCCGATGACGTCCAGGCACGCGGCTCTCGCGCGGTCCTCGTCTCTCAGTCTGTGGAAGAAGTCTTGCCTCAGGTCTTCCTCGCTTGCCATGTATAACGCCAGCGGATCCGCGGCCTCGCAGTACAGCAGGATCGTCACCAGTAGGTAACGCAGCTGTGCGGGAGTGTCCACGGCCGCGGACTCTGTCATGCACGCCAGCAGGGCTTGGTCATCCTCCAGGAGTCCAAGCGCCACCGCCGCCGCCGCGTAGGTCGGATACACGACCCCGTCGACGGTCCTCATGTCTCTGAACGACTGAGGACCTCTCCTATGCAGCAGCAGCAGTCGCAAGAGGAATCGCTCTCGATCTAGGGGGTTGACCGCGTACATCCGAGACAACGTCTCGTTGGCCATTACCCTTTGGCGCCGATTCCACCTCCTGTCTCTTTCCACCCAGGTGTAATGCATCGGTATCTCATGGTATAGATACTGTCTGGCCTCGGGGTCCGTCTCGTTGAGCGAGAAGAACGCCGTGAGTCTTGTTCGGGCCAGCGCTGCGTTTTGCACACGCTCCAGTTCTTGTCCCGGAGCGAAGTACACCGTGTGGTAGTCTTCCAGATGGACTGGAAGCCTGATCACCCTGTGACTCGGCTTATGCAACTCGTACGAAAACAGTCGCCAAACTGCTTCTGGCGGACTGACGTACCGAGCATTGATGTAACTGAAACAAACAAAATTCGTTCGATTAATACACAATAATGTTATGAGTAGTGATAATAATAATAATAATACATTTTAATAAATAACAAAAATAAAATTTATATTATACAATTTAACTGCCAGAATTTGATTAGTTCTATTAGATCTATTAGTTAGTTTATTTTATATAATACTCTATCTATATAAGTTTTATTAAATAGTATATAGTCATATCATTATACAATTTAATTTTCAGACTTT